AAACAAATATTTTCAAAATATGTTTTTTAAATTTTTTAAGTTTTATTTGATTCTCCACTATGCGGCGAATCGAGCGGCGAATTGATTACCGTCTCCACCGAAAGCTAGGTCGGTAGTGGAAATTGGTATGTTGAACATTTGCAGAATGAAAGTGAGGTTAAGTTAATTACATTATTTTTATTTCATCGAAAATTTAATATTCCGGATGCCAAAATAAAGGAAAAGCGGTTATAATAGTAAATTTATGAATATTTTATAGTTAAAATTTGTTAGTTTTTTTATGTTTGTAACAAAAATACCATTCTCATTAGCTGTATTTATACAGTCGAGTTGCAAATCATGTAAATATCGCGTAAATCTAAACAAATTTTGACAAATGTGTACAAATGTCGGGATATTCACAAAAAATTTGTAAATATTTTAACTTTTTTTTGCAAATATGAAATATTTGCAAATTGTCATAAGCCCCTAGGCTGAACAACTACTCGTGATAATTGACTATTGCTTGCATAGACTTTTCTCACATTCAACGGTAGAATAAGCGTTGCCACTGATGTAAAGTCAATCATCAACTCATCTAACGCATCGAAATGTTTTAAATCAATGATGTTTGACTTTAAATTTGGATTGTTAGAAATAAATAGATCCTCTAACTTGTTCAAATTATCAAATAATCCAACGGGTATGTATCTTAAATCGTTACTGTACAAACTCAAAAATCTAAGGTCACTATTATATTGAAACAACTGAGAACTATCTATTTGGATTTGATTTTCACGCAAATCTAACCCCTCCAAAACTTTTAAGTGTTCAAATACATTTTTATCCAAAATTTTTATTTGATTTGATGATAAATCCAAATATTTCAATGACGATAGGCCAAAAAATGCATCGCTGGCTATTTCGTTGATTTTGTTATTTTGAAGATTTAAATTTGTAAGCTGTTGACAGTTCGATAAAATTCCGCTCGATAGTTTTTCTAAATTATTCGAATCTGCATGAAGAAATTCTAATTTTGGCCATTCACATATTGACGTACCATCGATTGATGATAAACCATTGAAATTTATTTCAAGCGAATAGACATCCTTTGTTTGTTCAACAAAAGCTTTAGGTACCATTATGTTTTTACCAGCTATTGCTATCTGTGTTATGTGATACATATTCCTGAAACAATATGAATTATTAGGATGTTGTAATTCATCTGCATGAATAACACATGTGTAACAATGTCCCTGAACTTGCGCCAATGCCAAACTCGACGATAAATAAACAATCGTGATTAATTGCAAGAATTGCAAGAATTGCCTAAAATAGATTTAAATGTGGATTAAACCAAAATTAATAATAATGAATTTCTTATTTATTTCAACAATAAAAAAAAATTATCACATTTCGATCGATTTACACATTGTAAATATCAATGTGTTAAATTGAACTGCAGTCTGTTTTGTTTTTTGTTGCTTATAATTTAGTTATAAATCACCATTGAAAGACAAAGATAAACTTTCTTCTATTGATTTCAAGAGTACACTGAGCACATTTTTGAAGATCATTTGCGTTTTATACCTTATATTTGATAAAAGTGGAACGCACATATTTGAAATGCCAATGAAAAGACAATTACATATTGAAAAACGAAAATAGACGAAAAAGTTGAAAGTTCAGTATATTGCAACAAGCGTGAACAAAAAACCTGTTTTCGAGAGAGAGAGAGAGAGAGAGAGAGAGAGAGAGAGAATGAGAGTAAAGTGAAAAAATCATGTGGCAAATTCCCGATAGAAATGGAAAAAAAGAGAGAAACACACAATTCAATTTTACATAATCTACTGAATTTCTTGTTGTCTTTTTCGGTTCATATCTTTCGCTCAAGCTCACTCTCATACACCTAAAAATGCATGAATTTTGAGTGAATGCAACGCGCGTGTTTTTTCTTCATTTCTTTGTTTCATTTTCGATCGATTCATGGCTCGTTCGAACAACAGAAGAGAAGAAAAAAAAATCACACACACAACATTTTCAAGCCGTGTGATGTGTTCATACAGTATAAACGAAATATCCGCGCTTTATTCAACAATGGCCACGCGCGCGACTCTTTTCTGGGGCTAATATTATTATTTTTTTTCTCTGTTGTTTCACTTTACACATTTGAACGGAGTCCACGTACGTACATTCTAAACTTCGACTGTACATTTTATTTTCGATCGAAATTCATCACACATACATTCGTAGCCCATCTTTCGCAAGGCATACAAACGCTCACATACACACGCACACACATGGAGATAGAGAGCGGCCCAAACACCAATAGAAAGACACATGTACACGCATAGCACACAGCGTACGCGTGCTGCCACAAAAAAAAAAGTAGCATTACATCACATTGTTCAACCTTTTCGGTTTGAATACAACAACTTGATCGCACATACAATACTTT